CCCCGGGAGCAGTTAGACAGCTGCCCCACAAATGGAGCAGCAGAGCCAAGGCAGCCCTACTATCCCCCTGGCCCTGCCTCACTCCCAAAAGCAGCTGGCCCCTCATCCACAGGCACCAACAGCCGCAACTGGCCAAGGTTCTCTATTATTGATCAGTGGGAGCTGCAGGAGTGGTGTCTGCAGGTAAGGACAGCATGAACCCCTGCTCTGCCTTTCTCAGAGGGTGGCAGGGACATGTCAGGCACCTCCAGGAGCACAACTAACCATAAGGATAATTACACCAGACATGACATTTTAGTATTCAAAGAATTAAATTTAAGCATAAGAGAGAAATGAACGTTATGAAATGCACAGTCCAGTCAAAAACCAAAAAAAAAACCCCCGACTTCTCAAGCAGTAAAAGTAGCAACAACCCCCCCATGTACATGTTGAGTCAGGAGATCAGAGAGAAGAACAGTGAGTGTTTGTGAGAATGACAGAGACACACACACTGTGTGAGAGTGACAGAGATTTGCATTGCCAAACTCCCTCCATCCCTTTCTCTCTGTGGAGATAGGGAACAGGAGTTGGGGGAGGGGCTCCCCCTTCTCCCTCCGATACCCTGCACAGCAAGCAGGAGGCTTCCAAGGGGCAGCTCCAAGGCAGAGGGCAGGAGCAGCGTGACAGTGGGTGGAAGGGCAACTGAAGTGCCAGCACTTGAGAGCTTCCTGGCCAAACCAGTCAGGATCACCTGTCAGAGGCTCCAAGATCTACCAGTAGATCCCGATCTACTGGTTGGTGACCACTGGTTTACAGGAATGGACTCCTTATGTGCATTTTAGCTCTTCATTGAGTGGACATACACATAAAATATTATCTAATCATAACTAGTAATTACCGCACAATCACATAGGTCAAATGTAATCGATAGCTACATAGAATAAAGGGCCAATGATATCTCTCTGAACCAATGAAAAGGCATGGATCATGTCTCATTTTCCGCTGAAGCTCAGGGACCCCATTTCAGATTTTGATGTGGGGGGGGGAGAAACCTGTGCATGCCATGATGGGGAGGGGGCAGAAGAATGAGAGCATGGGCGAGAGACTTATGACAGCGACTGCAGTGCAAGTCAGTACAAGCTAAGCATAAAATGGGGGGAAGCAACCCCATCCACCCTCCCACACACACCCATCACCTCTTTCCAGGGGCTACTAAAGCATAGGCAAACTCTAGGCTTTTTGGCAAATTATTTAGCAAGTAGCTAACAGGAGGCATACCTGGGAGGTCGACAAATGCCTTTGATGTCATCCGCAGAGCGTCCAGACTACCGTGCTGAGCCAACAAACAGCTGATCGGCTCAGCGCAGCAGCCATTTAAGTTTAAATGAAGCGGCAATTATTTAAATCTCCACTTCATTTTCCTATGCCGAGTAGTCTAATCTACATGCTTCTGTCACCAGAGGCATGTAGTCTAGACGTACCCTAACATATCCCTCACCTTTTAGTCATGTCTTTTCCAAGCTGAAAAGTCCCTGTCTTGTTAATCTCTTCTCATATGGAAGTCCTTTCTTCCCCTAATCATTTCTGTTTCCCTTTCTGTACCTTTTCCCAATCCAATGTATCTTTTTTAAGATGGGGTGACCAGATGTGCATGCAGTATTCAAGATGTGGGCATACCAGGCATGTCTACACAGCAGGGATAAAGCCGAATGAAGCTATGCAACATGAGCTATGTCAATTGCATAGCTTAAGTCGAAATACTTTATTTCGGCTTTTGGCACTGTCTACACAGAAGGAAGTTTAAGAAAGAGAACTCTTCCTCCGACTTCCCTTATTCCTTGTAAAATGAGGGTTACAGGAGTTGGAGCAAGAAGTCCTCCCGGTCACCATTATTTTGACATTATGTCGAAATAACGGGCTTGTTATGTAGACACGGACTATATTATTTTGGAATAGGAGAAAATAGGAGAAGAGCAGATGGAAGGGAAGACACAAAGAAAACAAATTTTAGATACCAGCAGCACTTAGACTATACCTGAATGGTTGGAGGTAAATAAAAAGGAAGCTGAGACAGGTTGCCTGCCTAATGACATGATGTTTCTTTGACAGGTGAGGTATTTACCAGAATGTCCTACTTGGCAATTGAGACCAACCCCGATGCTTCATCATCCAGCAGATCTTTGCCACGCCAAAAGAGTGTTCTAAGTATGTACAATGGAAATTTTTTTCTTGTAGAGGTTAAACCTCTAAAATCCAGGGCTCTGTGGTTCGGCAACAGATGTTGCAAAACCAAAGAGTCCCAACTGGCCTGTTTCAGGGGCTGGACTGGAAGTAGGGAGTGTGGTCCCAGAGTCAGTGGGGCCGGCATGGTGGGGAGCACAGTCACCCTGGCCGGGATGAAGACAGCAGGCACAGCAGGGAGCGCAGCCCTACCTGGCCTGAAGGCGTCGGGGCCCATACCTGGGAGCGCTCTGACCGGTAATGACAGGGAGCGCAGCCTCACCTGTGCCAGAGGCCATGGGGTCCAGGAGTGGGGCCCAGCACAGTGGGAAGTGGAATCTTGGCCCAGCCAGAGGCAGCAGGACTGGCGGCTGAGAGAGCAGCCAGGACTGGTACTCACGGTGGTGAGCAGAACCCTGACCGCAGGTGGAAGCGCAGTGCTGGCAGGGCTGGAGGCAGCAGGGATGGTGTCGTGGAGCAGAGCCAGGAGGGGAGCTTTGACTCACGTGGTTTGGGACTGCTCAGGTCCTGAAGGTGCTGGACCAGGAAGGTCCCACCTGTAATATACGTTCCTCATGTTCATTAGCAAGAATAAGGAAAGATTTTTCAGGCAAAAGCTGCATCAAGGGCAGGTAGTCTGACATGGAGAGTGGAGTTCAAGCACTACAAAGGATTGCATTGATCCAGGAACTGCTGACATGCACTTTTTATTTTGTTTTCTTACTGGTCCAAAGATGTCTGTTTGTCTGTCTGTAACACAGCAATTCCGGGAAAACACAATCCAATCAATTCAAGAATACTAGGGAATGTCCTTGGCACCAATGGACAGAACTCTATTGGCTTTAGTGAGAATCAGAAAACTGGAAAAGCCTGATTTTCAACTCTGGAGACAGAGATGAGGCAACAACTTTAGGGTTAGAGTTATGCCAGACAGAGCCCTTCAGCCTAATCACTTTTGAAATTCTAGGCCTGCATTGCATAACTATAGTTTCTTTTATATATTCTAAAATATGGTCTTCCTACAGGCTCCTGAAAGAATATGCTGTACCATGATTAAATACACCTATTCTATCAGAAATTTATATTTAGATGGTTAAATTTTCTGCCTCTTTTGGACATATATCTTGTCTTTACATTTGTCTGTAACGGGCGTGTTATACACTTGGGGCTACATAATGATAGTTCATAGTAATAAAGGCTAAAGTAACTTCCCCTCTTTCACATAAAAAGTGGCGCTTCCTGCACCACCACCGGAGAACTCCTGTGTGACTTTGAGATGGGAACCACTGATGTAAACAAATGTAGTGATGTAGGAAAATCCTATGTATGTATGTGCTACTGTATATTTTGTATGATGTTCCATGTGTGGGTTAATGAAGATGTGAAAGTAGAAGCAATTTAAAGCAAGGGACAGATCCAAAGCCAATTGAAATGAATAGAAAAAAACCCACAGATTTTGATGGCCATTGGATCAAGCCCTAACAACCATATGGTTTGTTTTCACAGGAACAATATTTAACATCCCATTCCTTCTGATAATGGCCTTTCTCTCCCTCCCAAGAGCTCTCATAAAGGCTTGTATCTCCACAAAGTAAGCATGAAAGTAAAATTCTTCTGAAGGGTGTATTGAAGGGTAAATTGATATTCAGGAGACAACAGAAAACTCGGCCAGAGACTGGCACAGGAGTTAATGGGGCGATGGGCTCAGTTAGGGTATGTCTACACTATGTGAAAAAGTCAAATAAAGATATACAACTTTAGCTGTTAATTGTGTAGTTGAAGTCAAAGTACCTTAACTTGACTTTTGGTGCTGTCCACACTGCAGGAAGTTAAAGAAGAACATTTTCTCTTCAACTTCCCTTACTCCTTATGAAAGCAGGACTACCAGCATTGACTGGAGTCCCCCATCTCAGTTCGAATTAGCGTGTCTTCACTAGACCTACTAAATCAAACCCTGGAAGATCGACAGCAGCAGCTTTGATCTTCTCTGTAGTGTAGACATACCCTTAGAAACAATGTGTCTGTGATTGTTACTAATACAGGTTTCTCTGCAGTTCTGTGGCAGCTGCTCATGAAACTGAGCAATAACAAAGTCCATCTGCTGGCTCATCACCAGGACCTGCCATTGGCCAAAATCTCAGACCCTGAAAACAGCCTGAGTTAACAAGCTAATCAGAGGAGAATGCTATGAGACCCAGGGTACAGAGTCCATGGCTGCTATTGAAACTGTAGGGTCACAGAAGCCTCTCTGGCTGTTGCTTCTTCCCTCAGAGTCCATGGCTGTGGTTTGATCAGTGGTTTCATTAGTCACAGATCCATCCACAATATCTTGCTTCTTCTCTGCCTCATCTTCCACCTTATCCACAATTCTCCTGCATTTTGGATGAGGGCATGCAGAATCTTTTATGAAACACAGACGGAAGAGACCTCTATGTAGACTCTTAAATGGGTGCTACAAGCCTGCAATGGGGATGACAGGATTTGCCCTAGCCTGAATGAAAGTAGTATCAGAACAAGATTGTGTGAGTGCATGTGGATGCTGTGATAATTCTGTGCTTGGTTTCCTTCAGAGACCTAATCACCTTGCAGAATGGCAAAAAAATCTTCAAGATTCTGTTATTTCTGGTTCCAATAATTTATGGTGAGTAATCATTGAATTCAGGGGATATGTAAAGGTAATCTCAACTTTCAGTGAAGAAAAAAAATGCCTGTTTACAGAATTAATCTAATTACATTGATTGAGGGATTCTTATGACTAGAGACTATGATTGTACTATTATACAAGTTTTTTTCTTCAATGTCTAGCTAGATATTTCCATGGCTCAACATCTCCAAGCATCTCCTTGTATTTCCAAAAAATTGCAATCAATTTTCTTTTCCTTGTCATCATGCTGGAGTAAATAGGTTGGCTAATTGATAGCTCTGGGGGGGAAGAATGGGATCAGTGTTTGTGGGAGATGGAGTAGGTGGGTTGAATGATGAGGTTGTTTTTTTGTAAGGAACTGCTTTATTGTGATGGAAGCAAAGCTGAAGAGCTGAGTTCCACATTTAGTTTTGAATATGGGTGAGGACTCTGGCCATTTACATGTATATATCATGTGGGAGGAAGTTCCACAGTCTAGAACCAGCTCCTATGAAAGTTATGTCTCTCCTCCTCAGAAGCCTCATATTATTTGTCAACATTACAACGTAATGTTGACCAATAATGGGAACATTGTTCAGGGGGAACATTCTGGGAAGTCACAGATGTGAAAGGAGAGGTAATCTCAGTTAGCCTGGCCAATTCCAGGGGTGGCTTTGAATGTTGGGACAGAGACCTAGACCTGAACTCTGTTCAGAGAAGAACCAATTCAGAGAAAGGAGTATCAGGGTGATGTGCTCACCATGATTAGTGTTGTCTTGCAGACTGGATGCTACATTCTGTACCAGCTGGAGCACTCAAGAGGTGTGACATCATTCATAGATATACTGAGCTGCAATAATCATGTCAGGGGTATATGGATGACCAAGGCTGGGCATAATAAGTTTGATAGGCTGGAGCTTAGTCTTTTCAGAGTTATATGCAGCCCAGCTTCATTTCTCTTCAGCTAACATGTTACCATGGGAGTTTGTAAGTAGATAACTAGGCCATAGTAGTGATTCCAATTTAGGTGAAATAATTCTGTTGTGTGTGTGATTTGCAGCAGGTGTTTACTGTGTTGGCTCACTATCATCCAAGAGATTGACAGAGGGACTGGCATCACCGGTAAGTGTCTCTTGGGACAGGAAAGTAAACTCCTCCTGAGTCAAAATGAGAAGCAGCTTCAGTAATTGCCTTCCTAGACAAATTTGTTACCCTCAGCTTCTGTGGCAGCCTCCTGCGGTCTTTGCACTTTCATCATATAGGCAAAATGACCATTAACATCAATGATACTTTTGCCATTATAAAGAAAAAGTTGGGGCTGCAGGATATTGCTCCATCACCACCACCTGATTACTGGCTTCAATTAGTTGAGCATATTTTATCTGATTCCAAAGAGAGGAAGGAACATCTGCACTGCCTGCATTGAGAAGTCACCATTGTGGCTGTGTTAATGGTTAGTATATTTGCTTTGCTTGCTTTTCTCTTACAGGAAATGACAGATCTACATGAGACAGAGCTGAATTCACTGTGGTAAGAGGGATTTCTTGACAATGAATTGACTTCAATGAAGGGGTCACTGTAATTCCTTGGCTAACTGTGCATAATTATGTCTCCTTCTAGTAGCTGGTTCACTTTGAGCGTTAGAGCTGGATACTTAGCCAATAGAGTGACTTCTTTTACGGAAGCAGTAGGGCTCTTGCTTTTGCAGCTGAAGGTCTGGGTTCTATCTCTAGGGATAACAGTGATGTCCTCAAGAATGCAGTGTCGAGTTAACCACGGCACTCCGAGTGCACAACAGCAGCAGAGGTCCTGTGCACACACCAGAGGCAGCATTTCATCTGGTATCAATGAAACCTCATTCTCCTCAAAATAGAGGGAATGGGGCCTATTTGTCCATCTGACCAAATAAAAGAGGCATGGGCATATTTTCAGTCTCCTGTTCTCATTAAATGAAGAATGGTGTCTAATATCTGTTTTTCCACCCGTGTTTACAAGGCAGTCACACACTTTATTGGAAGAAAAAGTCCATGAAATCGAGCTTCTTAAAGAGCAGATGGATCATCTGCGTGCAGAGATCAATGGTGTGATGGAGGGCATCCTGCATTCTGTTCAAGAAATCCTAGAGGAGAGTGACATCCCAGGAGAGAACAGAGATGTAAGAGGCTAGAATTGTACAAATACCCTTCTGTAGCTCTCCCCATTCCCCCTCACTGCTTCCTGTCCCACCCTTCCTAGCCAATTAGGCCCTGTTAGTCCAGTTCATAGAACTGAATATTAGGGATGGGATTTCTAAAACACTCTGCACTGGATGACACTGTTTTGAAGTCAGTGGGAGATTTACCCCTGACTTTGCTTAGAGCACAGTTGTGCGAGTGCGGAGCACTTTTGAAAATCTCACTCTTGGAGCTTTATCACTGCTGTATTCTGATAGTATCGGATAGAACTTTGACAATTATGCCATTTCTCACTAAAATGTCTCACAAGTGTAACACTATTAACACTACCATATGAATTTATGTTTTACTGTTTCATGAAAATGTACAATTTAGGGTCCGTAAATCCTTCAACAGTTGATCCCAAATGGCAGCTAGAGACCCAAGGGGTCTCTCACAGTACACTCCTGGATAGCAAATAAAGCATTGAACTGAGGGTCAGGAAAGCTGGCTTGTAACCCTGAGTCTGGCATTGTCTTGCTTTGTGACCTTGGTCATGTCAGTTAACCTCTTTATGCATTTATTGTTCCATTTATACTGAGATAACACTTCCCTGTCTTTACAAAGCGCTTTGAACTCCTTGGATGGAAACACTATGCATCTTATAACACTAAGGATTAGTTTTTGCTTTCTAACTTAACCCTCTTTTCCCATCATGGAGACTTGTTCATTTCCTTATCCTTGACACCTACTCTCAACGTCACATTTAACTGAGCCACCAATTTTAGCTGAGGAGTAGATAAAATTCCCAGTCAGGCCTCCTTAGTTATCTGTCTGAATCATTACTAAGTGGCAAGATACTTGTTCTTGCATTCTGAGGCCTGGATTGCACTGTCTGCATGGTGCTCTCACATTTATCTGGCCCCTAAAACAACAGAATGTTGAAGAAAACAAACCCAGTCTCTGACATAACAGAGAAGAGCTTTATTGTGTGGCCTCCAGCTCAGTAGTTGAATAACTTTACATACTTCCAACGATTACTGGGACAACTTATCTGAGATGGAAATTGCTGTTGAGCATTTCATTATTATTATTATTAACTAGCCAATTAGCCCGTCATAAGACGGGATTTTCAGGTCTCTCCTCCATGTCAGTCTTCTCTCCTGAGCCTCCGGTCTCTCAGTGTGTGTCTGTCTGTCTGTCTCTCTCTCTCTTCTGTGTGTCTGTCTGTCTGTCTGTCTCCCTCCCTCCTCCTCCTCCTCCTACCTGCCTTCCCCACTCTCTCTCTCTTTCTCTTCTCCTCCCCATCCTGCCTCTCACTCGGGGGACCGTGGAGCCCAAATGGCCTTTTGGGCTCCGCACTCCCCGTGCTGCTTGGGGAGCGCAGAGCCCAACCGGCCACTTGCGCCACTTGCTCCCATGTGGCGGCCCCGCTGAGTGGGGCAGAAGTCAGCCGAGCACCACGGTGGGAGGGGCAAGGGTGCGGGGTGGTGACGTGTGGCATGACAGTGGCTCTAGGCCCTGCCCCCGGCCGTGAACATCACCGCCTTGCCTCCCACTGTGGCGCTCGGCTGACTTCTGTGCCACTCAGCCAGGCATGGGAGCAAGTGGCACAAGCGGCTGGTTGGGCTCCCCGCTCCCCATGCAGCACAGGCCCCCCAGAGGGAACAGCCAGCATTACAGTCTCTCAGACACTGGGCTACTATATATATGACTAGACAATTAGCCCATCATAAGCCGGGATTTTCAGGTCTCTCCTCCATGTCAGTCTTCTCTCCTGAGCCTCCAGTCTCTCGCTCCGTGTCCCTCTCTCTTGCCTCCTGCTACTGCCTCCCCCCCCCCTCAGCACTCCTCCACCTCCTGCCTCTCACTCGGGGGACCGTGGAGCCCAAATGGCCTTTTGGGCTCCGCACTCCCCGTGCTGCTTGGGGAGCGCAGAGCCCAACCGGCCACTTGCGCCACTTGCTCCCATGTGGCGGCCCCGCTGAGTGGGGCAGAAGTCAGCCGAGCACCACGGGGGGAGGCAAAGGGGGCCGGGATGGTGATGTGCACAGCTAGGGGGCAGGGCCTGGAGCGGCTGTCACACCGCACGTCACTGTCCCGCCCCCCCTTCACCTCCCACCATGGCACTTGTCTGACTTTTGCGCCGCTCAGCCAGGCTACCGCGGGGGAGCAAGCAGCGCAAGCACTCCCCATGCAGCACAGGCTGAGTGCAGCGCAAGCACTCCCCATGCAGCACGGAACAGCCAGCATTTCAGGCAACAGCACCCCCCAGAGGGAACAGCCAGCATTTTGGTGTTACAGACTCACAGACACTGGGCTACTATATATATATGATGATAATAATAATATTAATTCTCATTCACACCACATATTTCACCTTAAGTGCCTATGAATGAGTGTTTGTTGCTTGTAAATATCTTCCTTTGATTACCTTATGTCTTCTCTATTTTTTTTCAGCAAGTGCTTGAGATGATAAATGTAGCATTTAAGAAAGTTTATGAGGACCGTGTCCAGATGCCTGATTGGGCTCAGAAATCCATAGGTAAGGATACTAATATAGTTTTGCTCTTATATAGCACCTTTACAATGGTAAGTACAATTATTCCTCCTTAACGGACTGGAGAAACTGAGACACAGAGGCACTAAGTTGTCTTGCCTATGTTCAGACAGGTAGTCAGTGGCAAGCATCAAGGATATAACCCAAGTCATTAGAATCCCCATCCTCTCCCCTCACCATGATGTCTCTGGTAATGTTATGAACTTTTAAGAAGTATCTGAGATATTCTTCTCCTCTGCACTAATTTACGCACTTAATCAAAGGTGAATGGGAAATCTTGATCTTCCTTACACTACTGTGACACAAACCAACTTTAGGTAATGAGTCATCATTTATACCATATTAGTAATCTCCATATCAGACCATTGTGGGATGTTCTCTACACCATATTGTGACATGAATCCAGCCATAAGATATTGTATTCACTGTTTTTCTTTGACACATAGGAACTCAGATACAAACATGAGGAACATAGGATGGACAGATTTATGGTTTATATGTGACATTAGAAATATCTTGTAGTCCACTGCTTATCATAGGGTCTGATCTTTGTTAATATATTTATATTATAATTGTAGGTGCCACCATTGATACAGACAGAACATCTAAAAGTTATGAACTTGGGAAAACAGAGGGGTGTTGTTTTAGTTCATGGTTCTTTTCTTCTGCAAATCCTCCAGATATTATTTTGCAGGTAAAGCACATTTTGTGTGTTCTCTTATTCTGTTTTCAAATATCTTCTTTCAAAAATCTTCTCAAGAACTCCTCCTTCAATGGTGGGCCTTCAGTTAGTTAGCCAACTAGTTAAGGAAAGGTTGAGGAGCAGTTAGGTATAGATAACCTGCATTTAAAGCATTACCCACAAAGGTATTGTAATGCTCAGTACCATGGTTGCTATCCTGAAAAATCACAGAAATAACTCTGAACCACAAAGACTGAATTAGGCACGTCAACTTCATATACAATGAATAGGAAGTGATAGGCAACTGACAATTAAATCCACAAAAGACATCATGGTAGGCCAGAAATCTCCTAAGCTAGCAGATGGGAGATGCTGATGAGATAGAGGATGTCCTAAGCTCCTTCCCTCTTATGGAGATAGATTTCTTTCTCTACTTAGTGATTCACAAGAGGAACCCCTTTGCTGAAGTCACATGCCTTAGGCACCTAAGTCATGTTTTGTGAGAATGAGTTACATGCCTCCCTTGTTCTACATAAATGGCCAGAGGAGGAGGTGCTCACTTTATAAATTTTAGCACAGTGGTTAGAGCACTCATCTGGGATGTTGGAGACCCAGGTTAAATTCTTCCCTCTGGGGGGGTGGGGGTGGGGAAGGAGAAGGAATTTGAATAAAAGTCTTTTCCTTAGAGTGCTCAAACCATTGAGCTCTGGGATATTTTAGAATCATCCACTCATGCATATTCTCTCTTTCTCTCTCCCCCCTCGCCACCTGCACTCCCCCCTACATTTAGATGTGAGAGAGGTGTCTGGTGGCCTAGAGGGAGGCAGAGGGTTCCCATGTAGCTTGTAGATACAGAAATACAGCTGCTAACAGAACTTTTACCTAAAAGACTTTGGCACCAAGTCTGTTCAAGCATCTACAGGGTTTGAGAGAAATTCTTTGGATTGCAGTGAAGCTTAAAACTGGAACATAAGCACCTAAATCCAAGACGTAAGCGCCTAAGTCTGGAGTTTAGGCACCTATGTATCTTTTTGGATAAGAGCCTTTGAGCCCGATCTGAAATCCACTGTAGTCAGTGGAATTCTCTCTTCTTTTTACAAATAAAAACTTCCATATATGTCATTAATGCATATAAAAATCCGTACATTTTAATGGTCTTTCTCTCCTCCACCCTTCATATGATGCTAGCCTCCTTAGCAACTGATCCAGTGCCTCCTGAAATATTCACTGTTTGCCCCAACTTCTTGATGGCAAAAGTGTACTTAATATCACTGAAAACCATGTTCTCTTCTGCTGTCTGTGATCTTTAATCTGCAGACTCATGCTTTGAATGACTGCAAACACCTTTGGCCTGATTTAAAAATTATTCCTGGGCTCCAGTTCAGGTGTGTGGGAGAAAGACAGAACTGTGTTGACTTTGATGGTGCTATGGCCTAACTCCCAGTGTTTTGGGAAAGGCAATTTTCCCTATAATAAATAATAAGGCCATCTCAGGTTTGATCTGTGAGCTCAATGTCATGAAATATTAATGTGCTCTTTCAGGTGATAGGCAAGGAAATCTACATTTGTGCAGATTTGACAGAACTGTATTAATTTAACAACATAAAGTCAAATAACAGAAAGCATCAATCTTTCTGTTTTTCACTGAATATACATGTATGTGGGGAGAGTTCCTTCATTAGTGATAATTGGAGTTGATTTTTGCTTTCAGCCAGATGTTCACCCCGGAAACTGCTGGGCTTTCCAAGGATCTCAGGGTCAGGTAGTAATTAGGCTGCCTGAAAAAATTTACCCAACCGCTGTTACAATTCAGCATATCTCCAAGGCAATCTCTCCTTCAGGAGATGTAACTAGTGCCCCCAAGGATTTTGCTGTATGTGTGAGTATCTGCCTTTAACTTTTTAAACTGAAATGTTATGATGGGTAAGTACAAGAAAAGAGACTTGGCTTTACACTTGGGCTACGTCTATACTGCATGCTTCTTGTTCAAGAAGCCTTTTGCGCAAGAGTTTTTGCACAAAAACTTATTGCGCAAGAGCACGTCCATACTGCTCAAAGTGCATCGCAAAAGCAATGTGCTTTTGAGCAACAGAGCATCCACATTGCATGGATGCTCTTGCACAAGAAAGCTCTGATGCCCATTCACAGAATGGCCATCAGAGCACCTGTGCTTTTTCCCATAGGGGTTTCTTGCACAAGAACCCCCTCTGTAGCATCCATGCTTGCCTTTTTGTGCAAGAACTCTTGTGCAAAAGGGAGTTATGCCTCGTAAAAGGAGGTTTACCTACGGCAGAAAAAGCCCTCTGTTCTGCTGTTTTACTCTTGATTTCCTTGTGCAAAAGCGCATTTGAGGTGTGGACGCTCCACGGGTTCTTGCGCAAAAACCTTGCCATGTAGATGTAGCCTTGCTATTTACATGGTATCAGTTCTGTTCTCTTCACAACAGTTTAAGGAATTTTCAGATGAGGTGGTAATTTTATCACTACTAACAGTGATCATTTCTATGGTACTTTTTTCTGAGTATCTCAAAGTGCTTGACAAATAATAAACAATTCAGCCTCACAACAACCTGATGCTGCTAGTAAAGGATACAGAATGATTAACATCATCCACCTCTCAAGTAAAAACAGCAGCTGTTTAACATTATCACACAGCAACTCTATCCACTAGGTTTCAGGCAGCTCAGCTGAAACTGCGGCAGAGATTTAGGAGGAAAAATACAATTACCTGTACTGAAATTTCACTAGGATAACGAGGAAAAGATGAGTACGCATTCAAGAAATGATTTAGGATTTTCAGCAATCACAAATGGTTTAATAACATGTCCAAAAGACAGCCTTTCCAGCAATTCAGCATCAGTGATGGAATCAGTCCATGAGCTCAATGTCATAAAATATTAATGCTGAATCAGAGAGGAATTCTACTTAGGGTACACTGGAAAAAAAAAACCAGCAAATCTCTGAGCCTGGGTCAATTGATTTGAGTTCATGGGGCTCATGCAGTGAGCAAGGGTAGCAGGTATAATTAGCCATGGAAGGCTAAGCCTCCCCAAACAGGATGTGGCACACCTCTCTCTGGAAGTATGCTGCTGGCCTGTTCTCTCTTGAGCACTGCTGCAGAAAGGCAACCTAGACCATGCACGCACCTATGCTCTGCCCTGGGGCCCCAATCCTGAGTCTCAGTTTTCTCCCCATGACCCTGACCGTGCTGCTCCTCTTCCCTTCCACCTCCCCCTTGAAGCCAGTCGGGGTCTTGGTCAGGTGAGATGGGGCTGGCTTGGACCCAGAGCAGCTGGGGCCCACTGGCATCCCAGGACAGCTGAGACCCTTTGGTCGGTTGGCTGGGGCTAGCTGGTGGCCCAGGGCTCAGGTAACTGATAGGCCAGGGACATGGGGCAGCGCAGGATTCAGGGTGGCTTGGGCAAGTGGTCTGGACCTCAGGGTGGCTCAGCTGGGTCAGCCAGTGCTCATCTGACTCCAGTGAACTGGGAGGAAGGGTGTGGAGTAGAAGAGACAGGTGGAGGGTGCAGGGAGCGAGCATCCCCAAACAGGGAGTTCATGTGCTGCCCGTGGCTATGAGGCTAATAACAGCAGTATAGATGTCCCCACTTGACTTGAACCTCTGGGTTTCTGGGATTGAGAGCCTTAATGATAGGCTGCATCTAGACTGGCAAGTTTTCTGCAAAAGCAGCTGCTTTTGCAGAAAACTTGCCAGTCTAGATGCAGCCTATCATTAAGGCTCTCAATCCCAGAAACCCAGAGGTTCAAGTCAAGTGGGGACATCTATACTGCTGTTATTAGCCTCATAGCCACGGGCAGCACATGAACTCCCTGTTTGGGGATGCTCGCTCCCTGCACCCTCCACCTGTCTCTTCTACTCCACACCCTTCCTCCCAGTTCACTGGAGTCAGATGAGCACTGGATGACCCAGCTGAGCCACCCTGAGGTCCAGACCACTTGCCCAAGCCACCCTGAATCCTCTGTGCCAATCTAGACGCTCTTTTCCGCAAATGCTTTTAACGGAAAAACTTTTCCGTTAAAAGCATTTGCGGAAAATCATGCCAGTCTAGACGTAGCCATAATGCTTATGCTGCTATTTTAGCTCAGTAGCAAGAAACCAAGCCGATTGACCTGGGCTCTGAAACTTGCTGCCAAGGATTTTGCCGATGTTGTTTTGGGTGGAGTGTTTGTGTGGGTTGTTTTTTGTTTCATTTTTTGCACTGAAGATGTAACCTTACTGACTAACCAATCCCACGTGATGCAGAGATGTTCCCTGGAAGTCTCTGATCAAAGTACTGACCTTTTCCAACTTTGTAGTTTGAGACTTCAAATAAAATTAAAAATAACTATTTAATTTTAAAAACCCCAAGTATTGCTTAATCTGATCTGACCATTCTTGTGCCACTAGCTCATGTCTCCTAGAAGGTCCCTTAGTTTGAGAGACTGCTAATCTGGAGTCTGACATTTCACACCCCCAAAAATTCACTGTCGGACACAGTCTTATGCTTCATTAGTGATGATGCAAAGGACCAGACTCCATGACTCAAATGTAAGATTTTCTGTCAGAAATAAGCTATTGTTGAGATCTGTCCCTTTAAAAATAAACTTCATCCTGTATTTCCTGTACAGTTTCTCTTTATTTTATACCCCCACAATACTACTAACAAAGTCCTGGATCTGAGAACGGGGGCCCACAGAGCTAAGCCTGTCATAATCAACTGATGAACATGTGACTATATGTTGTGTTTACCATCATTCTGATGCAGGATAGTTAACTCAAGAAAAGGCTTTTGCTAAGAGAACGTGGCTAACATCCTTTGTCAAAATCAGCTGCTTTTAACTTCTGGAGACGTCCATATTGCTCCCAAAATCCCTCAGTTTCTTTCCTCCTGATTTTCAAAGGAACAGTGCTGATTTTCAAAGGAACAGTGAACTCACTGGGTGAATAATACTGTTCCCCAGCATGTACAGTGCAGAATGGAAAACATGGTTGACTTATTTTGTTTCATTTCAATAAATCATCATTTGTTCCAGCTGTCTTTCCACTTTGATTTTAGGGACTGAATGAGGAAACAGGGAAAGAAACTCTGCTGGGAACTTTTATCTATGACTCAGGAAAAGAGAGTATTCAAACTTTCCAACTGGAGGTACTTTAAAGGGTGGTGAGATTGGGCAAATGGTACTGTATACATGCAGGTTTGCTTTTTAGTTTTGTTTCTCCTTTCTGTTGAGAGGATTCCAAAGCGGTTAAACTGGTGTTTTTGGAGAACAGAACTGTATTTGTGGACAGTGTGGGAATGGATAGATAATACAGGCAGTTATGTGAACTGGGTTTCAAGGGAGGCCCATGGATTTCAAGGGAGGCCCCTCTTTTATCAAAGTTCCACTTCTGCAACAGCCCTTCTAAGTTGCAGAAGACAGTGGCTCTAATGGCACGTCTATACTTCCCACAAGATCGACGCTCCAGAAGTCAGTCTTCTAACTTTCGATTTAGCGGGTCTAATATGGACCCATAAATCAAATGCTGCAGGCAGCCCAGCATCTAGTACTCCTCCTTTTGCAAGGATAAGGGAAGCCGATGGGAGCCATCAAGGCTTGGCTTAAGATAAGCTGACTCCAGCTATGCATTTTGCATTGCTGGAGTTGTATGCCTTAAGCTGACCTTCCTGGTCTAGTATAGGCCAGGCCTAAGGGAGTAAAAGATGTGTAGGGTAAAATTCAGCAAAAGATGCATCTGTCCCAACTTCAGAATTGACACGGTGTACATGAGAGTCAAATTTAAACTCTGTTCTTCCTTCTATTTTTCTCAATCAATCTCCCATCTTTCTCTTCCTTCATCTTTTGTATCCGAAGCGATGGAAGAAAAGTGCTTTTGAAGCTAGGCAGCTGGGTTTCTGAAACACCTAGATTTCATTAGTACCACCTTGAACAAAGCAGTGGGAAAACAAAGCTGGAGAGGCAATGTGGAAGGGTTTCAGATTTATATGCACAGGAGCCGAAATTTCCTGTTGTTCCAGACACATGCTGCAGCTGTTCTCAGCACAGAATTTCAGGTGGTGCCAACCGCTTTCCAAGCTCTGGGATTTGATTTAACATACCCTGAGACAGGTTCAGCTCTGGCATAGGTAGAACCATTTCCCATTAATTTCCATGGGAATTTTCTCCTCTTACTTCAGGACTGAATTTGGTCTAATACTAGAGTTACTAATAGAAACGAGACTAGGACTAAAGAAAAACATTTAAAGTAACACAAGTTTTGATTTCTCTTAACTTCTTTTTTTAATTTCAGGGTGAGCTTTCCAAATCTTTTGTTTACATTAAATTCAATGTGCTGAGTAACTGGGGCAATGCAGAGTACACTTGTGTTTATCGAGTCAGGGTACATGGGAAGAGGACAAACAGCAGCTGAGGCCCTTAGTGCGAAGACACGCAGCGAGAACACAATAAAGACACCTAAAAATGACAGATTTTTGTCAACTAGTGACTCTCCTATGCTCTGTTAAAGAAATAAACAAGATTTAACTTGGATGTGTGCCAAGTCATGAGTACTGGCAAGTGGAGTCTTAATTATATTTATGGATTGAAAAGCTTTAAATCTTATAGGATCCTCTAGAAAAACACTAGAGCAGGAGTGCTGGAACAGTTTGTATAGTGGGTCTATTGAACCAAACTGTAAATCCTGCATATGATGAAAACCACTTCAAGCCAGGGGATGCAGCAGCAATCCCAGCAGTTCTATTTTCAGTACCTATGCAGTAGAGCATTACTGACCACTCCAGGAAGGAACTGACCAGGGTGCAGAGGTGGGAATACCTCCCTCCAAATCAATAACAGCCTTGCTGACCTCATCTCAGTTGAAAGTTGTCCCCTGCATTACTCACTGGTACATTTCGGAGTGAATGATAAATTGTGGCTGAGTGTGT